TAGCGTCAATTTTAGTCAGAGAGTTTTTTATTCAGAATTTCCTAAGAATTACATATTGGTGAATTTATATATTGGTGCGTTTTAATACTTTAAATGATGTATGTCGAAATACAGTGACTAAATTGAAATTGTCAAACTTCATAAAATATGTATCCTCTCTGTTTTAAGAAAAACTAAAATGTTAATAATAGTCTGTTATTTTATTTCTTTGTATATGTAAGTAACGTTTTTATTTCGATGCATGTAACATGTGTTATATTTTGCTTTATAAAGTATGTAATAATGTGTTATTTGTTGGTGTAACTGGTAAATCCCACTATCTTCTAAACTTTAAGTTCACATTTTAGTTGTTAATTCTGTTTAAAGTTATTTCAGATAGTATGGTGATTGTTCTGCTGCTTATATGTGCCTGATTTAGGCCGTGTTTTAGATTTCAACGTTTCTTTAATTTAATTGCTCCACTAAGCTCTGTTAATCCTCTAATGTCGGTACAGAAAGTTCGATCAGTCATACTGGTGCGTTTTGAAATTTGGCTTATTCGTTATAAGCGATAATAACACCATATGTGATTCACGAACTTTGTTAAAATTATTCGCAAACATGAACGATGACCTTTTTTCCGCTTATATACAATAAAGGAAATGAAAGGAAAATAGGTTGCTCTAAATTAAGAAGTTAGCCGAGTGAATTATTCTGGGCGCAAACAGAAAAAAATGCGCCAAACTAAATTTTTAAATTTATCTATAAATGTCTCACAAAAAATAACAAAATTTAATATCTAGGCATAATTTGAGTAGTAGAATCGAAATATGTTATTTTAACCAGTTAAATGTGGCGCTCTCGTTTAAGAGTGTGCACCGCTTTCTGTCGCCAGAATCGAGCCATGACGAGTATATTGGTCAATCACAGTGTAAGCTGCGCTGGTAAGATATTGGATGAAAAAGATGGGTTTATTTTATAAAATTGAAAATTGTATTACTAATATTTACTTATTTCGTTAACATAAGCATATATTACATACATATTAAACTAAAAACGCAATACATTAAATGAAATATTATACCTATAAAAGTAAGAATTTAAATTCCTGCTGTGAAGTCATGTTCAGCGAAACAGGGTACTATACACAATGGAACTTTGCAAATCGAACACCAGTCACGCAATTCCTTCCTGATCTTACATATGCAGTAATGCAAACACCTTCGCGAAGGGTGGTGTTTTTTTTTTTTTTTTTTTTTTCCCGATGTTCTGTGTATATAATCGGGAACATGATTCCCACTTAATTGGCTTATATTAGGTCTAAATGGCCGAGTTTGTGTCGATTTATTTCTTTCAATTGGATGCGTCGCAAAGGTGTCTTCAATAAATTTGAGCAAAAAATTTATACGCGATAATGTTCCAATTTTTTTCTATAATATGAATGCATTCAGATACATAATGTTTAAGAAATGGGGAAATATCTTTTTGTATTACTTTTTGAGTCGTTTTCTTGCTGTGGAGTACGCTATGATAATTCCATCGCTCATTTCTACTCCACCCATTTTTTTATTATAATCGATCACTACCTCCGGTTTCTTTGTTATTATTTTCGTTTTCTCTTTCTCTATTACGTTGTCATTATGTGCAGTACTTACTAAATAAAACCTCCCTCTTATCCTTCCATTTCATTAATAATATAATACGCAATGACGAATATACTCGTCAACAAAAATCGCGTCTCTTCTCCATAACGAGTATACTCGTCAATCACAGTTAACTGGATAAAAAAGTCCAATTTTGTGTCGAATATGTTAGAATATATAGAATAATGCTACATATAAATCTAATATATATCCTAAGTTGCGCTTTCGAGACATGAAAAACGCAATTTGAATTTCATCAACCGGTGCAGTAGAACGGAAAATATAGAACTGCCCCAATTTTTTTCTTTTGCCCGGTGTACAAATTAGGGGGGGGCTGTTATACAGTCAAAAGTCTTTAATCCGGACTCGTCAGGACTTCCACGATTCCGGAGATTTGGAATTTTTCCCGATATTAGATCGTCTATTTAAATCTGGTAAGACTGGCATGCATGGAAATTAATAAAATTAAAAATATGAAACCGTAATTTATGAAATAATGAAGCAATTTGTGATCTAACAGGGTATCAAAATTTACAAAAAAAAAGGATTAAAATTTATTTGTTTACTTTATTAAACATTTCTTTCAACGAGCGCATGCGTAAAGCATACATTACGCATAGTCGAAATTAGAAAATTGCAACCAGAAAACTATTTGATGTGTATTCGTGATATTTATAATGACGAGGAATTTGATTTAAATCATATCAAAGACGAGTACATCGAGATGAAATACTACATTTAGTAAGGAATTATAAGCCGAATAAAATAAAAACATCTGCCCTGAAGATAAGGATAGTGCTGACAGATCAACTTCCAGTTCATTGCGCGCCGCGACGTTTCCCCCCCCCGCAGAGCAGCGTGAAATTGATAAACAGATCTCGGAATGGCTAGAGAAACAAAGGATATGCCTTTATCCCTTTTTAGCAGCAATTCCACTTTTTTTTTGATGGACATCGAAACATGCTTTCGCTTTGTAGATCCTTTGGCAGCTCCAGAATCGGAAATTCTTTTTTACATAATCGAAAGTTCAAGCTTACTTTTATAAAATTGCTCTAACAGTCTGCAAAAAATAATAAGCCGGATCCAATTCGAAGATTAAGGAACAACGCAATCTGCAACATTAACTGAAATAGATAATTAGATACTTTTAGCTTAGCTTATACCGTCCGTTATACACTAAACGTGCATGCGTAAACGTATTAGTCCCATGCGTAAACGCCTATGTGCATGCGTAAACGTATTATGCGCATGCGTAAACGCATTAATGCGTTTACGCATGCGCAGAAAGTTTGTAGCTTTGAGGTCCGAATTATAGATCATTCTGGGTTATGGACATCCGGATTAAAGACTTTGACTGTTTTTTAATTATCTTCCTTTAAATGTAATTTATATCCTAAGTCGCACTTTCGAGACATGGAAAACTCGAGTTAAATTTCGACAGTCGGTTCAGTAGAACGGTCCAGTAGTAGATATGAAATTGTCCCCCCCACGCCTTTTTTTTGTGTGTGTGCAAGGTGTGTTAATCGGTTTTATTTAACTATGTTTAATTAATTGACGCATATGACAAAAACACGTCATGGCTGTTGTTATTTTTGTCATATGTGGTACCTGTTTAAAATTCTTATTTTTGTTGTTGTTACTTATGCTCACTTGTCTGAGAGTAACATCAGCCCAAGATCACGAAATTCCTCGTAGCAAGGAGCGCTAGATTACGTCTGCCGTTGGCAACGGCACTGAACACTTTGCAGGTGACAGTGCTAATTAACTCTGCTTCGCCCCCAATTTTGTTGTACAGCACCCGTAAACAATACGACCGACAGTCTCCCACCGCTCTTTCCTTCCACCAGACCACACGAGAGGAATTTCGGCTCGCCGCATATTTAGAGTGCCGCCATGCCTCACCGACACTATACATTTGCAAATATCCATGCCTTCTCCGGTATTGAACCCCGGGCCATTCGGCACGATAGTCAGCGACGCTGCCCACTATACCGGTTGGGCGGGAATTTTTCCGTTATCTTTCAAATAGTTGAGGAACGGTGGCACAGTAGCTAGCGCATCGCGTAGCAGCACCACAGGTCCGGGGTTCGAACCCCAGGCTGGTCAAGGTCGACTCAGCCTTTCATCCCTTGATTTCCATCCCTCGGGTCGATAAAATGAATACCAAGTTCGCTTGGGAACTAAACACTGGGAGTCCTGCGACAAGAGGACCATTTGTTCAGGGCATATGCTTACGCACCCCGGGGCCCACGGTGAAGAAAGCAGATTTCAGAGCACTGCAGGCCTTGGCCCATTAAGGCTGTTTGCGCCACTAAGTTTAGTGTTTTTTTATACAAATAATTACCAATGGATATTTAATAATATTAGATTTACAAATTTACCCATGCTAAGACGGGATAATGGTTAGTTATGCTGACTTCAGTATTGAAAGGCCCGGATTCGAATCCCAGAGAAGGCAGGGATGTGTGTAAATTTATAATTTCTGTGGGACAGGGGCGGCATTCACAGAATACATGACGAGCTTGGATATCCTTGGATCCGACCCCTGGGTGCTCTTCTCTAAAAGGGAGCGAAAGGGGAGAAAGTCGTACTGTCACTATATGCAGCTCAAAGCTCATGCCTGGACAGACGCAATTCTTGCCATGATAAAATTCGTGGTCTTGTTCTGATTAAGTCAGATAAGTGAGATTAGCAACAACAAATTTTCAAGACTTTTAAACTTGTAGTGTTCCTCCTTTTTATTCTACTAAACTATGCGTTGAATAACTTGGTGAACAACTAAGCGAATAATCGCTTAAGTTCCAAGAGCAGAAACGCAAATTCAAGAAAGGTTAGTTACCCATTATTTGCTCTAAATAAAGATGTATAGACGGCCCCTTTCTCAGGGCATACAACAAAGCTTCCACTTGGGCTTAACTTAGCACGCTTTTCAGGAATTCTAACTCTCTCTCTCGAAGTCAGTGGAACTTAGTGACTTGAATGCTTCCTAATTCTCATTTGCATTTAACGAGATTCTGGTAAGGAATTGTAAAGCGAACCTAGAGGAGATAGGAGAGTTTCATAAACTTGAAAATAACTGTTATAAAATTAGGGTATACTTTATAAACTGTTTAGTTTCATGTACACGGCCATTAATTCATTTCAGTAGCCACCTTTTGTATTATAAAATCTCAGCTTCTTAATGTTATTTTATGCATTATCTTTACGGCATTTTTTAATAAATGATACAACAACTAATTTCTGTTTTTTTTTTTTTTTCAGGAACAAACATTTCTTAATAAATGGTACAATGACTAATTCCTGTTTTTTTTTTTTTTTTTTCAGGGACAAACATTTTTTAATAAAACATACAATGACTAATTCCTCTTTTTTTTCCAGGGACAAAGTGGAGACATGTCATTCGTGGTCCGAAAATACTACGCAGCAGATTGACTTAGCACTCAATATATTTTTTATGGTCTACTTTTTTATACGCGTAAGTAGTATAAAACTTTTAATTTTATTTAAATGCCTAAGAAAGTTTTAAAAAGGTTATAAGGTATTTATAACGCCTTCTTGACATGCCTTCGTGGTGCGGTGGTCTGCACCCTCGGCGTGCATTTCAGATGCCCGCGGTTGGATTCCCGACCAAGGCGTTGCTCTTTTTCCATCACTCCTGCTTCGAAATAACCTAATGTCTCTACAGTGGCGCTCGAACTAAAAGGCTAGCGGATGATGAGTCTCCACACCCAGGATTGGGTTCCCTAAAACCCCAATCGCTCTTTAAAAAGGGGGTTATATAAGGTATTTATCCCGCCTTCTTGGCCTGCTTTCGTGGTGTTGTGGTCTGCACCCTGGGCGCGTATTCCAGAGATCCGTGGTTCGATTCCCAGCCAAAGCTTGCTCATTTTTCACTTCTCCTGTTTTCAAGAAATATACCTAATGTCTTTACACACGCATTTTCGAAAAAAAAATGATTAAAATTTGTGACCTGCCTACTACAGAAGAGACGCTGGCGAAAAAGAAAGTATTTCGCCAGATTTATATTTTCTCGCGAAATATTAAAACCTAGCGAAAATAATTGCTTTTACAGTATATCTCCTTAATAAAAAAATAATGGAAATTTTTAATGAAAAATTAAATATAAATAAATTATAATATAATGAATTTGAAAGAAAAGTAAGAATAGTTTTTCTTGTATTTATTTATTTATTTATTTATTTATTTTTGTTGTTTGTTTGTTTGGTGCGATTGGCGCCGTCTTTTGTGGTCAACGGGATTTTCCGTAAGCACCAATATTCCTCAACAAATATCAACCAATTCATGTTTAAATAAAGGTCTTGAATAAAAAGCACCAGTTATAAACACAGTTCGTAAATTCCATACTTGGTAGAACGTTATTTCAGACGGATAATGTGAATGGATGTGAACTAAGCAGGTTTAAAAAATTATTGCCAACTGATAATTACCAGAATTATACTTAGAAACACAAACTTTGTGCTTACAACTGCATGATATTACAAGAAAATCGGTATTTGTGTGAAAAAAGAACAGTAAATAACTGCTAATATTATGCTAAATTACATAAAACGAAACACGTTTTAGGTATCACTAAAGAATCGCTAAAGAATCACTAAAGGTATCACTAAAGAATAACTTATTTATTTTCCATAAATAAGTTATTCTTTAGTGCGTTTAATAACTAAAATGTTTAATAACTAAAAGTAACACACAAAACGTTAAAAAAAAAAACGCTCCAGTTCGGGTTCCACTGTACGGACTGCTATTCCTTCCTATTGCCTTGGAAAACAAACATTACTGGAGTGCTGAGTAGGAACAGGGAGCTTACTCAAACTATGCCTGTGTATGCGCATAAGATGCAACAAAGATAAGAAGGATTAACTTTACTCTTTATTTCTCAAAGCTTACAGCCGCTTTCGCAGTTCGGCATACAAGGATGAGCACTTTTGGTCTAAAACGTAGACAGTAAGAAATAAACTAACTTAACTAAATTAAGAATTAAACTTAATTCTGTACAGAGACTATTAACGCGAAGATTGGCCCTTTGAACACTACGTATGTAATGAGCGAAATGCAAAATAATACAATACGTTCTGTATATCAGCAGGAACTAAGTTCTGACCTTAAAGGCGGACATGAACTGACTGAGAAGCACGCGCGTATCAGGGCAGCATGAAGGCTCTTCTCCCTCTTGGCTAGAAGCCACTTCTTAAATACCCATACAATTTGCAAGCTCATTAACATAAAAATCCTTTTCGCGCTTATTCTGACCGGAAATGGGAAATAACAGAGGATAGCAAAGTTTAAAATCAAATAAACGCTAGTAAAACTTAAAATCCTCGTAAGCTTTTAGATTTTTTTTATTTATTAACCAAAGCGGCTTTTCCCTGAAGGACTATCGTTTCATTTTGCGATTTTGCGTTGGTTCACTATTAATATTCGTTTCACTTTTCAAACTGTTATCACCAATGTTAGAGTTCTGCATTATATTTGAAGAAATTAAATAATGCAGAATCTGCATAAATGTATGTATATTTCTCCCATAGTGATAAAACAATGGTACATAGAGTAATCGAATTTTGAATGAGGTAATCCTAATGCGAATATGCGCACGAGGAACCCCAAATTTGAAATTTGGAATTTGTTTTATGATCGATTTCATATTTTGTAAAATTTTAACGAATTTTTGAATTAAAAGACTCCAAGGGATTTCCAAAGCGAGCAGTGGCAACTTTGTACAGAAAAAACATTTTTATCTCCAGCGCGAGACTCTGTATATCGGAAATTCTAAAGATAAGCTCAATTTAAAATTATTTTGAGATATTGCTCTTGAACTAAATTTTGTGGTTTAAGTACGAAGAACGTGAAATTTAATAAATAAAGGTAACAAACAAAATGTTAAAAAAGTCCCTTTGGACGTCATTTAAAATCTGAAATCTTTCAGATTTTTATCTTTTTGTTTATTAATTTTTTTTCTTTATTTTAATTTTTCCAGTGCTCTACTTGTAAAATTTCACTATGGCATAAATTCGATGACGGCTAATTTTGTTTACTAAATTGTCATTATATTCATTGTTTCATTGTTTGTAAATTTTGTTTTATTTATGAATGTGTTTCTGTCATTTTTATGATAAAATCCTAATATATTCTTTTTAGTTTTACGAATGATTATTAGCATTGTTATTTGCCTTGCACGATGGCAAATTGTTATGCAGTAGATATACTGTTTTTCAGTCTGTATACTAAAGTAATTAATTTATTTTCCAGTTTATTGCTGCTAGCGACAAGTTGTGGTTCTTGCTGGAGCCTTATTCATTCGTGGATTATTTCACCATTCCGCCCTCCTTCATATCCATTTATTTAGGAAGAACGTGGATAGGTAAGTTTTGAATAACCAATCAGTCAAATACTGTTTTCAGGCAATCGGTTGCACATTATTAAATATTTTTAACTAGCCGCTAGGCCGCCATCCTTCATCTGGCTTTGAAATGTACTCTGCGCAAAAAAAATGTAGGACAGTTCTATATCTCCCGTTCTACTGGTCCGATTGACAAAATTCAACTTGCGTTTTTTTATCTCTCGAAAGCGCGACTGAGGATATGTACTAGATTTATATATAGCATTGTTCTAAGATAGGTAATTTGACACAAACTCGGACTTTTTCTGAAATAACATACCAATTTTTTTCCATATTTCGATTCTACGACGCAAATTATGCCAAACTGCCAAGTTTTGTAAAAATCGCTAAAGTAATTTTTAAAACATTAGCTCTCAAATTTGTAGCCCCTCCACGTTAATTGAGTTTGGTGTATATTTATTAATCTCTCTTTTTTTATTAAACTTATTTGATTCTTCTTTTCCCATTTCGAAATTCAGGTTCATTCCAAATAAAATTCACCCACTTTTTATGATTTTTTTTTTTTTTTTTTTTTAGAATTTGTATTTTTAAATAATTTTTATAAATTTTTCAAAAGTTTTTTGAATTATAATCTATACAAATTGTACCATCATTTTAAAGTATTTCTAAGCATACATGCAAAAAAATTATAGTTTTTTATTAAAAATTTTTGAAGATATTCGTGAATTTATATATTGGCCCATTTTGAGATTTGGCATATTTGTTGAAGGTGATAAAACATCAAATGTGCTTTAGAATCTTTTGCTAAAATTATTTAAAAACAAGAAAGACGTGACTTTTTCCCCGCTCTTGCACAATGTAAAAAGGCCTACCTTTTTTACCGATGTGTCTTTTTTTCCGCTCAGGCATATTAGAAGGGAAAGGAAAATGGGTTGCTACACGTTAAGAAGTTCGGCAAGTGAATTATTCTTGGAGCAAACTGAAAAAATGTCGCCAAGATAAATTTTTGAATTTTTTCGTAAATTTCGCACCAAATTTTACAGAATTTAGTATCTAGGCATTATTTGAGTCGTAGAATCGAAATATGGAAAAAATTGGTATATTATTTCAGAAAAAGTCCGATTTTGTGTCAAAATACCTATGTTAGAACTATGCTATATATAAATCAAATATATAAAATAAGTTGCGCTTTCGAGACATGCAAAACGCAATTTGAGTTTTGTCAATCGGCGCAGTAGAACGGGAGATATAAAACTGACCCCTCTTTTTTTTTTTTTTTTTTTTTTTTTTTTTTTTTTTCGCAGTGTACCGGAAAAATCCCTGAAGGGAACACGTGGGACCAATTTCCCCATATGTTCCAATTTTTTTTTTTCCTTTGTTGAGATTCCACCCCCCTTGCATACGGCCATGATGTATACAGCAAACCAAAAAAACATATATATCTTGAATTTTCAGTATATTGTTTGCATGAGATGTGTATTAGACATTTATTAAAAGATAATTTATACCTCTCTTCTTAATCACCACTATAACTACATAAAAAATTACATAAAAATTTTACGATAAAATAAATATAACTCCACGCAGTTTCTGATGAGTCAAATGTTTGCAAACATTTTCTTATTCGACAGCCTGAACACTGAATTTCTGAAATTTTGAATTTTACAAATTAGAATTATGAAAAATATACAGAAAAAGCGAAATGAAGAGAAGGAGTTATTAATAACTCCAACATATGATAATGTGTTAAAATGCTACGATACTTTTCATCAATCATCATCTGAGTAATCATCTGAGAAAATTCGTCAGCATACTTTCAAGAATCTTCTAGTTAAAAATTATTCTTTCAAGAATTGTTTAGGAAGTAATTCTGAAAACGTAAATATAAATTGATGCAATCTTATCACACTTTTCTTGATAAATGTCCAGTATTCAAGAAAAACATTAAATTTAAAAACTGCACAGAATTATCGCCCTCATTTTTCCGGGTGGCAACAGTGCTGATAAATTTAATTCGCTTTGTGACAACATTTTTCGTTATGTTTCCACCTTGCGCGCACAGTTTAAACATTCTGTTGCATACTTTAATTCCATATTTAATATATACCATTTGGAAATTGAGTTTACAAAATGTATTTTATTACAAAAATATGTAATGTTTTTGTGCATAATTTTTTTAATATTAAAATATTCACCAGATTTTTGGATCAGTTAAAAAATAGAGCCCATATAAAAAATTCCATCCAATTTCAAGTATGTAACATTAGCCATTTTTAAAATATCATGCGCGCAAGATGGAAACATGACGAAACATTTTGTCACAAAGCGGATTAAATTATAAAAAAATATTTGTGGCAACACAAACTTTCTGGTTACTAGTTCCTAAAGCAGCTGTATTATGTAGTCAGCTTGGTTGGAAGTAATTGGTTTTAAAATAAGTAAAGTATCGCAATTCTTGCAACAGTTACATATTCGAAGATCATAAAGGTGTATGAGACCACTTAAAATTAAAACTCTGCAGAGCAACTTCATCCAAAAAACAAAAAAAAATCAAAATCACTGTATTATATATAACAAAATTTGATATAACAGAACTTGACATTTAATAAATAAAAGTAACAGATAAAATGTTAAAAAAGCGCCCCTTTGGACGAAATTTAAAATCTGAAACCTTTCAGATTTTCTTTTCTTTCTTTGTATTGTATTGCTTTTTGTTATATCATCGGTTAATATATTCCGTTGTATTTTCATTTTAGGCCTCCGTTTCACGAGGGCGCTGCGGCTCATGTCTGTGCCGGACATTCTACAGTACCTGAACGTGTTGAAGACAAGTTCAAGTATTCGGCTGGCACAACTCATATCCATCGTCATCAGCGTCTGGCTTCTTGCAGCAGGTCTCATACACTTGGTTTGTATTCCAGTCTGAGTTTCCTAACCTAATTTTATTGTTGCCACAGTAAGTTTCAATTCCCAGTCTAAATTATTTCCCAGATTTCAGTATCACTTTAGTGTTATTTTTAAAGCTACTTTTGTCTTCACGATAAAATTTGAATTTCGATTTATTGGCTATCATGTGGCACGATACCCTGAAGTTATCATCTACATCTATATCTATATATAAAGAACTAGAAATCCCGGCGGTCATACGAAATGACCGCTGTTCTAGATATTATAAATTGTAATTAAAATGATTTGTGGAAAGGTGACTGCTAATTCAAACTGAATTACCCAGGGCAGGCGGCGAGAACGCCCGTTTGCTTACAGGCCCACGGGGTTTCCTCCTTCTACATGCTTAATTGCTTAAAGTAGAGTGCCATGAAGGAAACCATTGGCGGTACATTTCTTAAGAGCCACCGCTAGCTCAATAAATAAAGGTGATTTAAATAGTATGTTAATTCACATGTCAAAGATCGCTTTGTACACAACATTTCTTGTCTAGATCTTTCCATCATTTTTAAGCTCGCCTTAAGCTTTCACAAACTCTTGAACAGGGAACATAAAGTTGACCGTATCCAAATGCAGGCTCAGGTCAAAAAATGCCAACACGCTTAAGCGCTTGGCACTGAGACTTATGGATGGTCATTGCAAAGGCAATTTTTACAGGAAATTGTCTACGTCTCAATTAAAACAGCAGTCCTGTGCCGTGGCAACTTCACCCTTTGGCTGGTACAGTTACGCAAGCAACCAATAAACTATCGGCGACAAACAGACACTTAAGCCGCATATAATAAAGATATTTATTTAAATATTAAAGATATAATTAATTATGTAATAAAGATATTTAATCGAGTGGCCACAGTATCGTATTTTATTTGTTTTTTCATCGCTGCCGGTTGCATATTTCCGAATTCTATTATATATAGATGTTAAATGTATTTATTAAATGTTAAATGCACGTGCTCTTGTATTTTTAACTTTTCTGGCTTAGCTTTCTCATAATATTCGTCACGCGCTGCACGGCGCGGGGAATAAAACAATTTATAGTTACGCAAGCAATCAATAAACTATCGGCGACAAACACTTAAGCCGCATATATATATATATATATAAGATAATGTCTGTTTGCGTGTTTGTTTGTTCGCGATTAACTCAGTCACTGCTATCTCACCAAACGTTCTGCAACACTTTTCTGGGTCCACTTTTTCCGAAAACAAAAACAGAGATCATAGAGTTTATTAATAAAAATTTCTAAGTTTTACACTGAAATAAAAACAGCATAGCCAAGCATTAGTACATTATTCCAAATTCCAAAAATTCGCGGGAAGTCATTTCGACTGTTCCCATCTTCGTGTGAATTTAATCAGCCAAGATATTAATTAAAAACTCTCAAAACAATAATTTTTGCCCTCATTTTTCCGAGTGGCAACAGTCTCGCGCGTTGAAGATAAAAATGCTTTATGTCGAAAAGTATAACTACTGCTCACTTTCAAATCGTAGAATCTGTCAATCAAAAATTTTTAAGTTTCTCCAAAATCTATACATATAAAAAAGAATGTTTGTTTGTTTTTTTCGCGTTATTAATTTCTGATCAATTATTATGAACTTTTTGCCACATTTATGTGACTACAGTTGAATATAGGTGAAATATTGGGTGGAACTTGAGCTTTTACGACCATTCGATTAAAAAGACGAAACTCATTTAAAACTGCGTACCATTATTGCAAATATAATGAGAGAGAAATAGTTAATTTTTCTACGGGAACTTTTTATGTGGGTTACATATCGCATCAGACTGAAAAATGTCTGACTGGCATCGGTACTGGCATCAGACTGGCATCGGGTACTTCGCTAGTTAACAATAAACAATAGTTTGCCATTTTCTAAACAAACATCTGATAGATCTTACAATCAGCATAGCACATTCAAGTAAAAGATTGTCAAGCGTGTTTTTATGTACATTGTACAATAATTTAATAGCTTGTCTCATAATGATACCATAACTTTCCATTTAATAGCAAAAATGTTCTGACTTGGAAAACGAGCGCATTTCATATGTAACCATTATTTTCGTGAAATATAATTCCATTTCATTGCATGAAACATTATAACAGTTCGTGAAATAATGGACTGTGCAATTTTAAATCATTGAAAGTGTTACATTTTGAGAATATTTGAAATAATCTAGATTTCTCTTTTAATTTATCAAATACTAATACAGACACTCTGAAAATGAGAATTTAATATTCATGTTTTGAATAGTTGCATGTATTTTCTATGACATGTTTCAAAGCTTCGAATTTGGTTCAAAAGTTCACTTCGACACTATCATTAAATTCTCTTCCCTTTCGAGAACACTTAAAGGATTTCCATTCCTTTCTTAAGCGGAAACAATTACAAAGAGTGCCTTTTCTCTTAAGTTTCAATTTGGTGGAACATTCTTGTAAATTGCATGCTTTAGGAAGCTTAATTGTCGAGGATCTTTCAACCGAAAATATCGCTTCGCATTAACAATTGGGAAAGGAATACTTTTGGAGTCCCATTCAAACGATTTCAACCAAGAAAATGGCTTCAAACTCTCATTTGGTGTAATTATATAAGACCATGGTATAAAAACGTTGGAAATAGTATTTCCAACTCAACCTAATATCGCAGCTTTATATCATTAATCTAATATCACAGCTTTATATCATCAGATCTTTATGAAATAAATACAATTACCTTAATTTGATTTAAATGTTGTTTATCCAGCTTCATCAGGTCAAGAGTTAATTACGAAGAATCTTAAAGATCAAATCTCAAGAGATAGCAAAACATACAGAGTTTTAGTCAAATATATTAGAAAGTAAAAAATTATTTTTAGCTATTATAATATTCTTGATAATTTGCTACTTTAAAAAGTCGTGAAGATGCTGAAACGGCTGTTTTTTAAATCAAAATTGTCAAAATACGGGATAGGATATAGTTGTGCACCTCCCATTTTAGTGACAATCGGCCGCACCATATATATATATATATATGATTTACCAGCTTTAGTCCGGAATAAATAGATCGGAGAAGAATCATAAATGTAGTCGTAACTTAAATTATCAGACGATAAGTTTAAAAAAACAGGATCCATTTATTATTATTCAATGAACTAGCAGTTACAAATCAGATATCCGGAGTAAAATAAAAAATTACTAATAACTTTTTGTATGAAGTTTACTGAATCGTTTCATTAAAAAAAGCCCCGATATTCCTTTGCGAGTCCTTTTATAGCCTCAGGAAAGGCGGAGCTTCCAAGAAATGACGTGCCTCGTCAGAATTCCAGTTCGCTTTAAAATATTTCTAGAAATTCTTTAACTGCACGGTAGAAAAGGCGGAAAAACAACTTGACTACGGGCTGTGGATTTAATTCCACGTCTTTTGAAATAAGAAACCGTCGTCGTTAAAAATGAAAAGAACATACAGTTAGAATTTTAAGTGTATTCTTGACTATGGAATTTTATTATTACATATGCCCATTCTGTTACTCGGCTTGGGAGCTCAGTTATTTTATTCTTATATGTTGGTAAATAGGGCATTTCTTTGCTTTAAAAATGATTGAATTATGTTGTTCTTGTCTTCCGGTTACGGTTTTTATGCTTTTGGTTAATCTGCATGCAATAGAAATTGTAGAATTATCAATAATTTAAAAGTTGTTTAAGTGCGGCTAAGCCTAATTTTTTTACCATAGCAGCCATATTCGTTTACATTTGAAACTTAGCAGAATAGTGAATTAAGTTTTTTTGCACCTTCAGTGCCTTTTTGCCGAGTGGGACCAGAGCGAGACTTTGAGCTTTGTGCACCGAAAATCTGCCTTTTTGCCCGCTGGGCGAATTGCTTGTTTTTGAGTAGAAACTGTAATTTCAATTGTAAAAATTGTTTTTTTAATTGTTTTATGTTTCTCTCTATCTTTCAATTTTTAATAAAAGTATTTTGAGTTTTTATGTGTTTTTGCCTTGCCGCGAAGTGAGGACTGAATTAATTGAATGAGAACTACATCTCTAATGGAATTCGAGGAAATAAGTTTAAACGAAATGCAGCAGAAAATGCGTATAATTTAATATTTCGCACAAGGAAATTGGTGTAGACATCAGCTTTTTTTGGTTATTTCATACGTTTTACGAAAAATGTATAGTAACGTAACCTTATAAAGTATCTCTCCCGCCTTCTTAGCATGCCTTCGTAGTGTAGTGGTCAGCACGCTAGGGAAGTATTCGAGAGTTCCGTGTTTCGATTACCGGGGAAGGCGTTGCTCATTTTTCATGTCTCCCTCTTCGAAATAGCATATAATGTCTCTACAGTGGCGCTCGAACTAAAAGGGTAGTGGATGATGGTTCTCCACACGCAGGATTTGGCGATTGGGTCCCCTAAAATACCCCAGTCACCTTTCAAAAAGGGGAGTATATAAGGTATTTCCTCCGCCTTCTTAGCGTTCCTTCGTAGTGTAGTGGTCAGCACACTGGGCGCGTGTTCCAGAGGTCTGTGGTTCGATTCGCGGCGAAAGCATTGATCGTTTTTCATCTCTCCTGCTTCGAAATAACGTAATGTCTCTACAACCTTTATTTCTTGGCAATCCGGACCTAAAAATATTTAATAACTGGTCCCTCAGAAAAACTTTTGAGAACCCATGTTCTAGGAAATGAAAATGGTAATACCCTCACCACTAGCAATCTTTCTAATGGTTCTCACAAACAAGGAATGCATTCTATTAATAAAAATATTTTGCTAGCAGGAGGATAACGCAATTACTGCTCTGCGCCAGCATCCATAACTAAAAGGTTTGCAGAAAAGATTCCGTAGATCAATAGGGTTGGGAAAAGTGGTAAAGAAGTTTGAAGAAATGGTGTATTTTATGTATTACACCAGAGAAGAATGCTTTTACAAATTGCGGTTGGAGAAATAAATGAAAGGAGATTGCTCGACCAGCCCAGAAAGAGGTGAAAT